GCAGCTGATGACCTGTGGTCCGGCACCAATTCATGGACTGCTACTGTCAGTAGTGTGCTGTTTTAGATAGTAAGACGTAGTTCTGGTGTGTTTGGGTGTCCCCTAACTCTAATCTGTAGAAAGGAGCCCGCCCCACACTCCCACCTTGACTGCATCATTGACCAACTCCCACCATCAAGATCATATTACCAGCCGTTCTTTCCCAACCTTGTGGGTCATCCTCACTCACACGAGTAGTAGCCTATATCAGCGTTGTCAGAGAGACGGGCGATCTCATGTGTCTCGATAACATTCAAGTCCCACTTCTTTCGGTATTCTGTGTCGTGGAGCACGTCATAGACCGTCTCAGCCGGCACATCAGGCATGTCAATGCGGCCCTGTGGACCAAAGGAGAACTGATATCAAGGCACTTATCAGTTGAGCAATTTCCAGGGTACAGCTAAATGGGAGATCAACTGGGAAACTTGGGTACACTATATTGTCATGGGTAAAGGAAGGGGAGGAAGGGGATATGAATAAAATAAATCTTGATCAGGCATCTATGAGACCACTAAATTGAAGAATTAACTTTGGGTTCAGGGCAGGAATACTTCTCAAAGAAATAATAATCGCTTTTTGATTATGGTGAAGATCTCAGGAGGTCTCTTTTCTTCCCTGCTGTTTTTGACATTTCTTATAAATGTTAAAATGAATAAAAATATTTAAAAAAAATAGCTAGCTGAGAAATAAATGTGTGCTCCACCAGATGAACAATTTGACTCCATTTGAGGCTGGTCCTGGACATTTCGCTGCCTGAGGAAAACGTAGAGTGGAAGGCGAGCCCTAACACCACAATTGGGAGGGAAGGTTAGGTAAATCAATACATAGACCCTGTGAAAAGTCTGAATTGCAACAACAAATCAATCAATCCTTGCAAACTATGGAAAAGCTAGCTGAGCTGGAAGTTTGCACACAGCCCTTTCCTTTTGTCTGGAGTTGATCCTCCCAAAATGCAGAGTTTGCACTCATGTCTTCTGCCTGACAAAGACATAAGAAAACTATAGATCGTAAGGCCCTGAGATTTGGCAACGTTGCAACTGAAGGGCCGCAAGTTGCCCACGCCTAGCTGAAGGTGGTGTTTTTGACCAAAACTTTATTACATAAAATTCTAAATCTGTTTCTCTAAGCATGCTACTAATCTTTCAGCAAGGACCATAAAACACCAATAAGCAAACCTTGTATTTATTTTTGTTATTCTTCCTTTGGACATCTGTAAAAGCAGGACTCTTTTAAGTTCTCACTGATACTTTGAAGAATCAATGACACACAATGCAATTATTTAACATATATGCCACAAGGAACACAGGACAGCATATATCACACTATTCTTCCCTCATAACTTTTTGTCTTTGGGAGCTATCATTCAAAGTAGTAACTTTTTCAAATTCTAAGAGAGAGAGAGAGTAACAAGTCCAAGGTCTTTAACCTGGAACGAGTTTCTTGGTTGAATGAAAATCTGGGCCCAGATTTCCCTGAAGTTAGCCTGATAAAACTACTACACCCCACGGGTGATTCTAGCATTGTTTTATTCTCTTGCAAAACTAACAAAGCGTGCAACTTTGCCTTCCTTTCACCCTCCTCGCCCTTTTGTTAGGAGCAGCCTATGGGTTTGGCATGGATGCTTTGTAAATCATTGATTCATTGGTCAACTTCCTGGCTTGCTGCTAGTCAAATAATGGCTGAGGTCAAAGCCAGAGACTGGAGCAATCATTCTATTCTCCATTGATTATTTAAGATGGTCTTGGGCTGGCTTCTTGCGTCAAGAGAGTTTCCAAATTGAGGTCACCTCCTTTCAAGTCTGGGATGAGTTTGAGGACAGAGCCATGATGGTAGATGGAGGATACAGCTCCATGGTTATTACCCTGGCATTTAAGTTTTGTAGTTTTGTGAGACATTGAGCCTTCTCTGTCAGAGAGCTCTGGTACTACAATAAACTACAATTCCCAGGATTCCCTAGCCTTGAGCCAAGGCAATTAAAGTAGTCTTAAACTGGATTATTTCTGCAGTGTTTTTTAGATCTTAGAAGTACTTAATCTTGTCTGAATCAGGAATTCAAAGTTATGTCTCTCTCTCTCTCCTATCAGCAATATTTTTGCTTATTTTGTTTTATTGTAGATTATTTTTATTGGCTGCATCTACACTGCAGAGCCAGTTTGACACCACTTTAACTGCCATGGCTTAATGCTATGGAATTCAGGGAAATGTAATTTTTGGGGGGTTGGTTGCAGACTGCCAGAAATAGTGCAAATTGAGTCCACTTTTAGGGTTAGGATTAGGGTTAGGGAATCATGGGAACTGTGGTTTATTGTGGCACCAGAGCCCTCTGACAGAGAAGGGTCAATATTTCAGAAAAAAAACCCACAATTCCCATGATTCCCTAGCACTAACCCTAACCCTTAAAGTGGACTCAATTTGCACTATTTCTGGCAGTCTGCAACTCCCCCTTTGTTCAGACATCTAGCCTTTTAGAAGAGAGTTCGGGTGTCACAAGAAACTAAAATTCCCAAAACTCCATAGCACTGAGCCACGGCAGCTAAAGTGGTATCAAACAGGATTATTTCTGCAGCGCGGACGCAGCCAATGTCACAGCCTTTGGGTAAATGCAACGAAGACCTATTTGCTCAAACCTCCTGGAAGTTATGGATTTAGTAGATAGAGAGCATCTCTCTCTCTCTCTCTCTCTCTCTCATATATTCATTTAAATTTAAAACTTTTAAAAGGACAATTACTGTGACCTATGAAAGGGCTGCCGAACTTGGGCAAAACCCAGGTTATTGCAAAAGCAGCAGCGACAAAGAGAAACCTGAACTGCAACCCAAAGAAGGAAATCAAACATGAATTATAGAACTAAAATAAAGACCTATTCTGGCATTCAGTCTTTCTGCAATTTAGAATTCTTAAAGGGATCTTTACGTTTTAGTCTGTATGGGTATGTTCTTGCTAAACTGCATTTAAACTCCACTGTGAAGGAAAGTAATTTGCAGTGGAAGGAAAATGATCATTATCAGGGTCATGCGGTGCCAGTTTTAAACTCCTGCCTCCTTTACTAGCATCTCCCGGCGCAAACAAAGCCGGCGCTGCATTATAAATGGGAGGAGAAAACTCCTCCAGTAACTGTTGGCAAATCTTTCGACTGCACATACACACCCAAAAAACAGAGGAGGAGAAAAAAAGATATCAGCAAAAGAACTGGCACACCCATCTCTTAACTAGAGTCATGCTTATACAGAAGAGGAAATTTCAGCAGGTTGCTAACATAGGTCCAAAACACACTGCAGAAATAATCCAGTTTGACACTGCTTT